ACATAGGGATATTTTATTCATCATTAATCTGCTAGTCCAGGACCATAGAGGGGACCTTCCTCTTCTTGAAACAAATGTTGTTGAGTTTTTCTTTCTTCTTTCCGATCCGTTTAAGCTTTTTTAGTGAAGTCACTTATGCGTTGTTCCGAGCGATTGATGCGAGTTTTTTTTTTCACCAATTGTTATCCCCATTACTGATAATACTCTAAAAATGAGCAAAAATCCATTATTAAATACACTACCGGCCAAAAGTTTGGTATCACCTCTCAATTTTCATCAGTACTGAGTCTACTACTAACTTTTCATAGACTTGATATTGATATTGCGGAGATAAATAGCAATTTATCTCATATCGACTGATTTGAATGATACGAAATTCGTTAAAAAATTCTTAAAGCTGCTGACTTTTTTCTGGGAATTTTTGTGTAACTTACAATGTACAGTGATTCCAAACTTTTGGCCGGTAGTGTATGTAACGCAGGGGTTACAATATGCGTGAAGCAAGTCTTTATTTAGCAACAATTTAATATAATGTGAGCGCGTGTCGTGTGTTCGCTAAAAACCCGAGAACTTAGAACTTACTTTTCTTCTTTTGTGCTCCTTCTTATACAGGGTGTCTCAGCCGATTTTGACATCTTGATTTTCTCGCTATTCGTAGCGAAAAATGTTTTAAAGAAGACTTGAATGGTATCGAGTGTGGCATATTCTGGTGTTAGTTTTTTCGTAAGTAGACGCGTCAAGGTCATATGAAGGTCAACTTTGTTTTTTTAGATGGAACGAGGTATTTTTTTTATACATCAAACTATGCAGCTAGACCTTCTTTATAAAAAAAAGTACTGGTATATATATGTCGAAAAGTTAGTAGCTTAGGAGATATTTCAATTTAAATAATTCTAAAATTCGTACTGACATTAGCGTTTATTTACAGGAATGGTTCAACATAACGACCATTTGCATCACAGCATTTTTGAAATCGATGAAATAAGGACTGGCCTACGTTATTTAATATATCGGCTGATATTTTGCAACATTCAGCGATAATACGCTGAACAAAGGGATAGAACGATCAGATGTCTACAGAAAGTGAACCCAAATTGAAGAACGATTTTCATAACTGAATAGTTCTCAAATGTTTACATTCCAACGCTACCGACCTCAATCAATCGTCTTTGCTAGTCTAACATTGGTATAAACAGAGCTCACGTCTTACAATTAGTGCGGCAGAAATGATGCCTTAGTATTTAAGTTATTTAAATTGAAATATCCTCTAAACTACTAACTTTTCGACATACATAGATCAGTACTTTTTTATAAAGAAGGTCTAGCTGCATAGTTTGATGTATAAAAAAATACCTCGTTCACTCGATATCATTCAAGTCTCCTATGAAACATTTTTCACTACGAGCAACAATAGCGAGAAAATCAAGATGTCAAAATCGGCTGAGACACCCTGGATATTGTTTTACCTGGGCGTAGCGCTCTTTCGGGTGGAGCTTGTCTTCGTCAAAAACTATTTCCATTGGTTTTTGACAAGCTCCACCTTCGCTACTTTTCTGACAGAAAAGTGGAAAACTTGGGTTTTCCCTAGGCACGCGACTTAGTCACTACGTGCTTGATTTTACCTTAGAAAGGTTTGGTAGCGGGCCCTGGTTTATGGTAGTGGTATATTGGAGGGGCGCTGTATGTGACCGTCAGCCCCTCACGCGTTGTAAACTAATTTCGACAATTAAGGTTTTTAGCTTGCAGCAGTCGCAAAATGTCGAAGACGAAATCTTCGTTACAAATATAATTACTGCCAAAAAAGGAGAGGATGTTTTATAATTAACGTTGACATTTGGGTTTTACTTTATTTCTTTACTTGTGTTAATAAACTATTATTATTATTATTTCAGATACACTTTTCCGAACCTCTGTCACAAGTCCAAGTAAATTCCACATATATGTGGAGATTACCACGCGGTTTACCGTTGCGAAACTCCATTCTCCCTGTCGCCGGCCTTTGATGTGTCACACTAAACGAGCTATAACTTCGTTATTTTATCGAATACAACTATAAAATTTTAGGAGCACATTTTTAAAGTGTTATGCTTTCGGTATATGTAAAAAAATCGATTTTTTGAAACCGTCACGCTAGAATACCCCCTTAATCCCGACTTTACTACTAGAAATTTTTGGTCTGATAACCTTAAAAAATGTTTTTCATTATGTAACATTTCATTATGTTACTTACATAACATGTAAGTGCATCAGTTAATAATAAAGCTACCAAAACTTATCTAAAGGAATTATTGAACCGCATATATATTATATTATATACAGGGTGAGTCACGAGAAGCAGAACACCTGAATATCTTTGTTGGATTTAAAGATATAAAATATGGGTACATCAGAATTAGAACGGTTTCGAAGGATGCACTTCGCCATCATAATATTCCTGTTTTTTGGGTATTTTCTCTATTTCTTTTACGGTAGTTGTAAAGCTCATTAATTTCCAGGTGGAAAAGTATTAAACATTGTTGGTCCTAAAGCTAATAATTAATGAGATATTAACGACAGTTTGATCCATATGATTCGCATGTCGTCGCGAATTGTCCCTGAAGCAAGCGTGGCACACGCTTCACGAATTCGTTCTTACATATCCTATACTGTTGTTGGTGATTCACGATACACTTTATTTTTTAATGTACCCTACTTGGAAATGAATGAGCTTTCCAACTACCGTAAAAGAAATAGAGCATTCCATTTAAAAAAACGTTGGTGACCTTGAAAATACCGAAAAAAATGGCATAAAAAAATAATATGATGGCGATGTGCATCCTTCGAAACCATTCTAATTCTTTAAATCCAACTGTAGTAGGATTTTTGGAAAGAAAGGATTTTCTTTGGTATCTGGGAAAAACACAAAAGTTTATTTATCTTTCGTCGATACATGTTAAATGTTTGATACAGAATAATTTCGAACAAATCAATGCAGTGTTCGAGCAGTTGCTTTCGTTTTCAGACGTTCGGCTTTAAGCAGCCGTACTCTCCCGTTACAACATTAACGAAACGGATAAAAATGATTCATAACAATTACTGTGGTAAGGCGTCCGGGTAGCCTCCCGTACTCTACTCTCTGGAAGGCGCCTGGCGGATAGTCCAGTCGTTCTTTCCATTCCAGGAGCGATCCAGGTATAGCTCCCGTACTCTCCTATCACAATATTATATGTAATACGCGAAAAGTGATTTATAACAATTATTGTGGGAAGGCGTCCGATGAGCCTCCTGTACTCTACTCTCTGGAAAGCGACCGGCAGATAGTCCAGCCGTTTTCTCCATTCCAGGAGCGACCCAGGTATAGCTCCTGTACTGTACAATATTAAGTGATACGCGTATGATCGGAGAGTCCACCCACACTTCTCCTGGTAGGCGACCGGCGGATAGTCCAGCCGTTCTCTCCATACCAACTGAAGTACTAAGCAATCCTCTCCGAGCTTCCTCAGGCGTCCGGGTAACCTCCCTGTACTCTCCTCTCTAAGAGGCGCCCGGCGGATAGTCCAGCCGTTCTCTCCTCCAGAGAGTGACCCAGGTGTCAGTCCCCGTACTCTCCTGTGCTGTAAGGGCGTCCGAAAGCTAGGCTTCGTACTCTCCCACTCTGAAGGGCGACCGATGGTAATACCTCGTTCTCTCCCAGCAGAGTACAGCAAGAATGCCTGGCCGCGCCGCGGCCGTGGTATTTATATTTGACCGTTGCTAATGACCGTCGCTAAGTGGCTTCCCGCGCGAAACCGCGGGTCTCCCGCGTACAACCGCGAGTCTACCGCGGATCGCGAGCTAGTTTGTTCCAGAAGCTTCTATCGCTTCGCGATTATTTGATTGACGACAAGGATAGAGAGTCGTCCCTCTCACTTCCTCTCGCGAAAAATGAAATTTTTGGCGTCTTTGTTGCGGTTTTAGAGAGCCTAGGGATATTACGTTTCTTTTTTAACGGGATATTGTGAATGTCATAGTTTCCTATGTTGCTGACTAGTGGGTTTGCATGCATGTGGTTGTATGTATTTTCTATCGTGCGTTTGATGTACTGTTTGATGTATATGATGTTAGTTTCTGCGTGGAGTTTACGTATTGGGTAGTCTCTTGGTGCATTTTGTATGATACGGAGAAATCTATTTTGCGTTGTTTGTGGTAGTTTAATGTAAGTTTGTGCTGCTGAACTCCATGCTTGTGCTCCGTATGTGAGGACTGGTCTCACACATGCCTTGTAAAGTTGAATTTTATGGGTGTGTGGTAGCGTGCTGCCTTTTCCGATGAGTGGATATAGCATTCTAGTAGTGGCTAGTGCTTTATGATTTCTGTCTACTATGGTTTGTTTCCATGATAATCTATTATCTAGTACGATGCCTAGGTATTTTACCTGTGCTTTCCATTCTATTGGTTTGTTTTCTACAGTAATTGGTGGTAGTTAGCCAGTGTGCTTTTTGTTCTTGGTTGTGAACAGTATGGTTTCTGTTTTACTTACGTTGATTTGTAGTTTCCATTTTTGGAAGTGGGTTATTAGTTTGTTTAGGTGTAGTTGTAGTATTTTTTATGCTTGTTTGGGTTGCCAGGATGAGGTGCATACTGCTGTATCGTCTGCGTAAATGGCTGTGTGAACTTTGTTCCTTGTGGGTATGTCATTGATGTAAATATTGAAAAGTATTGGTCCCAGGACTGAGCCCTGGGGGACTCCTGCTGTTATATGTTTTGGGGATGAGAGGTCTCCGGCAATGGAGACTTGAATGTGTCTCTTTGTTAAAAAATTATGTATGATTTTGATCAGGGGGTTTGGTGTTTGAATATTTTGGAGTTTTAGTATTAGACCTTCGTGCCAAACTGTGTCAAATGCTTTTTGTATGTCAAGTAGCGTCATTGCAGTGTATCGGTTTTTGTTGAATTCTAGTATAATGTGTTCTGTGACTCTGACGATTTGTTGAATTGTAGAATGGTTTGCTTTGAATCCAAATTGTTCATTTATAATGATATTATTTTGTGTCAGATGTGTGTTTAGTCTGTTTAGTATGTCTTTCTAATATTTTACTCAGTATGCTAAGTAGGCTGATAGGTCTGTAGTTTTGTGGGTATGTGGGATTTTTTCTTGGCTTGGGGTATGGTGCGACTTTGGCTGTTTTCCATGGGTCTGGGAAGTATGAGTGCTTGTAAGCGTATCTGTAGATGTAATACAGTTGTAGTATGGGTCTTCTGGGTAAGTTTTTGATTTGTGTGGCTGTTATTTTGTCAGGTTCTGGTGCTTTGTTTTTTAGTGGTCTTATGAGTTGGGTGATTAGCCTTAGGCTGATAAATGAGGTGTCTATTGGTTCATTGTTATTCCATGTGGTTAGAATTGCGTTGCGAACTTCCGTTTCCCATGGTGAGGTTTGGGAGCTTGTGGTTTGATGTATTTGTTGGAAGGTATGCGCCAGAAGTTCAGCTTTTTCTTTGTTTGAGTATGCTGTTGATGCTTGTGCTGTCAATGGGGGAATGAGTCTAGGTTTGTTTTGCAGTGTTTTGTATGTTTTCCATAGTGAGCTGTCAGCTGTGGTTAGGGTTTTCAGTTTTTGTTGCCAGTGGGTTTGCTTTATTTGGGAGATGTGTTTGTCTATGAGTGTAGTGAGGTAATTTCTTACTAGTTTATGCTCTGGGTGGCCTGTTTTCTGGTATTTGCGGCGGTGTCTGTTTCTAGTTTTTATTAGTTCGAGGAGTTTTAGGTCTGGTGTGTAGGTTCTGACGTATATTTTGGTTTTAGTAGTGGCTTGATTATATGCGTTTTGTATTGTAGCGTTTAGTCTGTGGATTTCTTTGTCTAGGTCTTGGGTTGTGTGAATGCGGTGGTTTATTCGATGTCTGTTGCAGGATGCTTTGTAGGCGTCCCAGTCTGTGTGTGTTAGTAGTTTGTTTGTATATGGAACGTTTGTGTTGCCTATAGTTAGGATGACTGGCAGGTGATTTGATGAGAGGTCCTGTATTGTGTGGCAGATAGTTTGTGCTGTGAGATTTGTCAGGTAAATGTCTATGTTTGAGTGCCTGCTTTTTGGGGTTTTGTGTGTGTAGGTGTCACTGTGAAGGATGTAGTAATTATTGCTGTTAATATGGTTGTAGAGTATGTTTCCGTTTGTGTTTGCAGTTGGATTGTTCCATGTCCTGTGTTTGGAATTTAGGTCTCCTCCGATGATGAAATGGCATCTGTGGGTAGTTAGTGAGTCTAGTAGTTGTGGTGTGAGTTTTTGTTGTTGGGGGAGGTAGGCTGCTCCTATGATTATGGTGGGTTTTGTTTTTTATAAATGTTGATTCTATAGGTGTGGTGTGTGGTTGCGGGGTGTGTTCTGTGTAGAGGTTTTTGTGGATGATGATAGCTACTCCTCCACCTTTTTGGATTGTTCGATCGTTTCTATATATTTTGTAGTTTGGTATATGTAGTCTGTCTGTTGGTTTTAGCCATGTTTCAGTTATTATAGCTATATCTATTTTTTGGGTTTCTAGGAAGAGTTGAAGTTCTTGTGTCTTGGACTAGTGGGATTTTTAAGACTAGTGGGATTCCATAGGAGTATTCTAGTCATCGAGGAACGTAGATACTTCCAGGAAGGCCACGAGCCTTTCTGTGTTGGTGGTACAGTTTTTTAATTTGTCCGCTAGCATTTTAAACGCTGTGATCAGTGTTTTTATGTCGCACATTGATTTGATTTGAGAAATTGATTGGAATATTCCATGTATATTTTGGAAGTCGCTGTTGTTGCTTGGTGGTTCAAATTGATTGTGGGGAGTGTTTCCTAACCTGTTTCTTACTGTTGCTTGTGCGTATGTTCTGCTGTGAAGTAAGGTTGGGTGGGTTTGTGATTTTGTTGGAAAGGAAGGTGTTTGTATTGGTGCGTGGATTGTGTTATTCTGAGTTGGTGGTTGGCGAGGATTTGTTTGAGTGTGCGCACGTTTGGCCAGGTAGGCTGGTAGTGCTGGGCATTGATTATAATTTGCTGGGTGGTCCCCTTTGCAGTTGAAACATGTGGCTGGGCGTGTCCCTGGTTTTTAGGCAGTCTTTGGTTAAGTGATTTTTTGCGCATTTGACGCAGTTTGGGTTCTTGTTGCAGTTTGCTGAAGTATGTCCGTGTGCTTGACATCGGTAACATTGGATGAAAGGTTTTTTGGAGTCATACTTCTCCCAGTAAATCCTTACTCTGAAGAGTATACCTATCTTCCTGACGTGCTGGGGTGATGTTCCGGGGGCGAATGTTATTTTGTATACTGGGTGTGTATTGTGTGGGTCTTTTTGGATTTCTGTGCATGTTATTGGGTTTACATTATTTAATTTTAGTTCTTCTATTATTTCTGTGGATGTGAATTTCGGGAGCCCTTTCAGGACCATGGCTATGGTTTTTTCTCCTGACAGGGAGTAAGTGTGATATTGAATGCTATTCTCCAAGCAAAAGTTTTTGAAGCTGTTGTGATCTTCTGTAGTTTGAAATTTTATTTTCGTTTCGTTTCCTAGACATTTTATTATGAATTTATCTCCGTATGTGCCTTTTAGGGTGGCTATTAGGGTTTTGAATTCCGTTATTCTTGTGTGAATGTGGATTGGTGGAGGATTGTTAATTTGCTGCTGTGCTGGGATGTCTGTTTGGTTAGGGTTTGTAAGTCTCGCTTGCTTGTTGTTAGGAGGCTCAGTGGTTGGATTGGGGGTTATTTCCATGTCTGTTTTTTCTTTGGCGAAGCATTTTGATAGTATGTGATATGGATTGGATGTTGGGACATTTGGGGTATGTTCTAGTTCCGTACCTGTTTCCTTTGAAGTTTCTTCTTGCCTTGGTGAATCGCTCTGCGTTACGGATCTTCTCCGAATTTTCAGGATGTCGTACGGGCTGGTCGGCTTTCCTGCATGGTGCCTTGCTGACTTCAGCTTGTTTTTGCTCGCCTCCGTGTCGGAGGTTCCAGGATTTTGGGATTCTTCTTGTTTTCCAAGGTCAGATGACCTGGTGAGGTCCGGGCTGCTGCGTGTGTTTTTGTTCCTCTGCTCGTACTGTGAATGATGTTCTTGCTCTGAAGGTTGTTTGTTCTTCCTC